ATGTGTTAAAAAACTGGCAAATACTGTTTGCATTTGGCTGCAAAAGTTTCTTTCCTTACTATAATCATGGTGCAGTTGAGGGCACTGTTGTTACTTTCATTTAACCCGAACAATTTATTTTCATTTTTAAATTTAATATGTACACTATTACGGGACAGCCCACGCTCGAGTTTTGACCATATTTCGTTTGAATAAATACAGTAACAAAATATATGTAGAATTATTGTTTCTTCACTGTTATCAAAAAATGTTTGAGGGAGTATTAGGTTATATGTAACTAATTTAAATATTAACAAAGCATCTTTTATATAACGAATTCTATTCAGTATCTTGAACTGAACCACCTCAGGCAATACAGATGATTTAATTTAATTCAATTTAGTTCAATTCACATCTAATAAAAAAGATAAAATAGCAATTAATTTTTAACACATAATACATCATCTGTGTCTGAATAAATGTTTCCCTTCCTGTCTCCGACAAGAGGTGGCGCTACACCTCTTACATCTACCAATTTGTTAAAACCATTAACTGACTTTTGCACATGCAATTATTTTCAACTCTTTAATGTCCATCAAACCTACCATATTAACTTATACGTTCATGTTTGGGTGAAATTCCCGAAATGTCAATATAAATTGTTCAGTTGTTTTAGAACATAACATTTTTTATTCAAACTTGTGTTTACCTGAAAATGCTAACTCAACAAATTAATACGCTTTACACCTTGGCTCTAAAAATTTCTACACAAAATGATGAAATGTTCAATAACCAAGTCTATATAACTAGCAAGATACACATTTTTTAGTTATGAAATCAAAAGTCATTGTCTCAACCTCTTTTATACCATTTTAATAGTTTTTACTCTCTTGTTTTCTTTAATTATTTTGATTAAATAGAATAAGTAATACCAATGATTAAATAAAGCCCAAGTTATTGAGTTTATGAAATGCAAACAGGTGTAAACCATGGATTAATTACTATCATTTTAAATACACTTGTGTATGCTAATTACACCAACTACTACTGTTACGGTACTTTCCACATAGCCAACAATCAACTGCTGCCGTATCTCCAGCATAGTGGAATAATAAATGATAATAATAATAATAATAAGATATCTGTATACCGCCAATTGCGAATCACCTCTAAGCGGTTTAAAAGAAAATAGTTGATAAGTAAAGAAAGAGAATTTCCATTACAAATTATATCAATTCAATAACATTAAAACTTTGCAAATGAAAATAATACATGTACATAATTACAAATCACTTATAACCAAAATACAAATAAGTCATAAATTGATAGCATCCTATACGTTAATCTACACAAAATATAAAAGGCAAAAAGGTCAAAAGGGCTATTCAGGAACAAGACTTTTATTTATAAAGAGATGTGTTTTTAGCATTGTTTTAAATGTACTTAAAGAGCTAGCATTGCGAATTTGAAAGGGGAGATTGTTCCAAAGAAATGCAGCTGCATAAACGAAAGAACGTTGACCGTATTGTTTGTATGAACTAGTGTGAGATCGAGAGAGGAGAGATTGAGAAGCAGATAGCAAAGTCCGGACAGGAGTGTATCGAGGAAGGAGTTCAGACAGATATGAAGGAGCGACACCTTGTTAAGTCTTGAAAGTAAGAAGGAGGATTTTGTAAGTAATGCGAGAAGTGATAGGAAGCCAGTGAAGTTTTTGAAGAACAGGGGTAATGTGTCAAGTACGAGGAACACAAGAAGCAAGACGAGCTGTTGTGTTTTGAATACGCTAGAGCTTTGAGAATATTTTTGCAGGAAGACCAAATAGAAGGGACTTGCCACAATCAAGTCTAGATGTGACGAAAGCGTTGATAAGATGATGGGCTTTATTCTGGTCGAGAAACCTACGAATTTTTACGAATAATTATTAGTCAACTACAGTACTTTCAGTATAATGGGCTCGTATAAAATTTGAATAGCTTTCAGCAGTTGCATAAACATTAAGACACATTGAAAACAAGTATTAACGTCCTTTGCTTTATAATTGGACACATACTTTCATTTTGATAAGGCATGTCAATCAATAATAACAAAAATAATAGTAACTGGTTCTTATAAAGCGCTTTACCATATATAACGTAACAAAACGCGTACAATAATACCATTATCCTGGTCATTGAATTAAATAACTATTTCGCACATTATGGTACACATTCTCCACTCACTGGGGAGTGTTCCTGTTGGTCGCCTTTAATTTTGCACTTCGTATATTCCACCGGGTACACATTTAACCCCCGGTTGGAGAGGAGCAATGTAGATAAAATGTCTTGCTCAAGGACATAACTGCCGAGCCGGAGTTCGAACCCACGACCTTTGCATTCCCAATCAAGATATTAACCACTCGACTACGACACCTCTGCAAAACAAACGTTACATTTACTGTTGGTCTCAATACCAAATCTGTACCTTCGAATAATTCAACTGCCGTCGTCACCAATTTGACCCGAACTGACGTAATTGGCAAACAAACTACCGGTGGAACGTGGTCAGAATATAATACAAAATAAATTCTTAAACATTTGGCTGTATCATATCCTCCGTTACCCTTTAACATTATCATATTGTGTAAATGTAAATCGCGTTAAAACATGTCTATACAAAATGTGCTAGATAAATTCATTATTATAAGTGGTAGTAGTATATTAGTAAGTAGTATAGCACATATTTATATCACATTCTCAAATATATGTACAGTCGCTCTAGTAGCTGTAGACTTCTACCGAAACACCACAAGTCAGACGTGTCAACCATATATCAATCATTTTGCAGAATGATTCAGGGGATTTTGTTGTCTTCCTATAACACTGTAGATATACTCCTAGTTGACCTTCAGATTTGCCACTTTCAGTAAGCATCTACATTCTGGTTCAAAGGGAAAGTCCACCCTGATAAAAAGTTGGTTTTCATTGAGTGGATTTCATATACATGATACAAGTTCAAATACATTTAACCCAGTTTTCCCATCTTTATTTCTAACGAACTTTCTCTGGCTTTTAGTTGGTTTTGCACATGACGGAGAAGTAGTTCTTTTCCCCACATTTAACAAACGCTTTAGCAAATTGCAAAGAATTTTCCGTGCATCGTTCCCTGATGTTTTCCACAGTACCTGTAGCGTTTTAAAATCTGTGGTGGTGACTTTGACGTCTTTTAATCTTGTTAATTACTTTTTCCCCATCATTCACAGGTGTTACAAATAGATGTTTGGTAAACAGTCAACAAAATTGATAAATACAAAGTATAATTGAAGGTACATTACATACAACTCATATGAAGAAAACAAAAATCATTATAGTTAATATAATTAACGTGTTGAATATATATGAGGAAATAAACCCTTTAGCACTATAACACCCATGAATTGGAACCTATATAAAAGACAGACCAAAACAAAAACCCCAAAAACAAACATACACTTTGTCTTTAAAAAACAACGACTAACGAACAAAAAAAGAAAAAAGAAAAACATTAGAGAGAAACAAAAGTACAAAAACAAACAAAACAAAAGAATATAAAAAAGCTTAATTACTAGTTATCGTGTAATATCGATATCGCAATCAGCGATACTCGATGTCACACCGAAACTCTAGCTTGCCTTTGTGTCTCGGAGAGCATTCTAGATGGAGAGTCTTGATGATGCATGAGCTGTTCATAAGAGCAGGGTTTATTGAAGTTCGCCGTTTATTGTTGATCATTTCAGACTTAATTATCGCTCCATCGTAAATGTAAAGTCTATTCTCGGTTATCAAATACAGCGAATATCGCGTAAACACCCGGTACGAACATGGTATAAAATCTCCATGAAAAAAAAGAAAGTAGCTTATTTATCTTTAAATATCTTGCTGTCACTTGTAATCTTGTAATCCTACGACAACACAACTATGGTGCGTTATTCAAATCATAAAGAATTTTTAATCGACTCACCCTTTTATTTAGATGCTATAGCACAATGAATATTTAATTAAATAAATGAATTATTTCATATACAGTGCGTCCCAGAAAAAACGAAACCGAGAAGTATCGATGTTTTATCATAACTTAATCACAACCATAATTCATGAATGATACATATTTGGAAAGCTTAGAGTCTCTTCGTTCAGTTGATGCTACTCAGATAACGCATATTTCACGCATGAGTGATTAAGAGCAATTTGAAAGAAGGAAACCAAAAAGTAAATTGGCGGGCGGTATCTGAATTTCAAAGAGAAAAAAATCATATTTCTAAAAAGTTCAATTTCTGCCCTTTCATATGATACCTCAATCAAGAAAAATGAGCCAGGAATAACAAAGTTCTGTTTGTTTAAAGTAGCCCTTACTTTTTCATAATTTTAACAAACGAATTCGTTTTCATTCGGTGCCTGCCGTAGCAAAAAGCAGATTTGACAAAAGACTTAACTCCGTTTCGTTGACAATCAGCCATGCATGAAGACTCTCGTCTAAGGCTAATTGTCAACGAAACGGAGTTAAATCTTTTGTTAATTTCGTTTATTGATACGGCAGGCAGCCAGTGAAAACGAATTCGTTTAAAAAATTATGGAAATGCAAGCACTACTTTAAACAAACAGAACTTTTTCATTCCTCGCTCATTTTTCCTGATTGAGGTGTCATAGGAAAGGGCAAAAACTGAACTTTCTAGAAATGTGAATTTTTCTTCGAAAATCAAATACCGCCCGCCAAATGTCTTTTTGGTTTCCTTCCTTCAAATTGCTTTTAATCACTCATGCGTGAAATATGCGTTATCCGAGTAGCATCACATGAAAGAGGAAACGCTAAGCTTTCTAAATATGTATCATTCATTAATTATAATTGTGATCAAGTTATGATAGAACATCGATACTTCTCGGTTTCGTTTTTTCTGGGACGCAATGTATAAATATATTAATCGATAAATAAATAAATGAATACAAAAGATTTAATAAAACAATAAATCAATGTAATAATAGGCCTAACTCGTTAAATGAATTTAAAAAAAGATTTAATAAAACAATAAATCAGTTAAATGATAACTCGTTAAATGAATAAAAAAGATTTAATAACACAATAAATCAATTTAATGATTACTCGTTATGGTTCAAGTTTTAATACCAAGTACTTCGACTCTCAAAGCCGCAGGACCATCAGTTGTTACAGGATGAAACATGACGTACCGTGCGGTTACTGGCTCAGGAAACAGTATGGTCACATGTGTGTCAGAATCAAAATTGCCTGCATATGTCTGAAAAACAACGAAAGCGATAGATAATGTTTAATTCTAATAATGATAATGAAATGATAATAATAATGATCTATAATGTATAGGACTATAGGTACACTGTTGGTCATGATGGTGGAATAATTATTTTTAACCCAATTTTTTGAATGATTTTGACAGTGTATTAACCATGATATGGCTCATCAGTATCACTTCTGCTTTTCCCAAGTGCCCTGCAATTCCTATGACCCCCGGAAACTTTCAGTTACTCGTTTACACCTAGGTGGAGAATGGCAAACGTTGATTAATGTTAGAGATATCATATCCAAGGCACATAAATAATTGATTTTGATTAAATTTGTTCATATTTCAAAAATACTTTTTTTCTTCAAATCCTTTAATTTTGCATAGGAAATTCTTCCTTTTGGATGTGTAAACGTATGTAAATATGGTTAACAAATTGCATGCAAAATTCAATGAGGACATTGTTTTTTAAAGTAGTTAAGTATACAAGTAATTAAAAGAACATGATTGAACAAGGAAGATGATAGAATTAACCAAAACAAAATTGGCCTTATCTGGAAGTGCGAAAATGACACTCACTTTGCGTACCCCGCAATGCTCTTCCAGAGCAAAGGTCCAATTTGTATCGTCTCTTGAGAAGGAGATTTGGAATGACGTAACCCTGCTTCTATATTTGGGCAATCCCTGTGTGATAACACCAGTTACCGAAGTATCCTCGCCGAGATCGACCTTTTGTTGATTTTAATGATGAAAAGAAGACAAAATATTGATATATCCGATGGCAGATTATATTGCATTTGATAACAATACTAAGGACAAGCAATATATATATATATATATATATATATATATATGTATACATATATGTATATATATATATATATATATACATATATATATATAAACAAATGTACCATTTGAACAAAATTGTTGCTTTCATTATGAGCAAAAAGAAAAGCTGGTAAGATTTGAATGTTAGCGATAGCGGGATTTTCGATTAAAGGTACGCATTTTAATGTTTATTTAAGATGGACCTCAAGAGGCAAATTTCGTTTTCGTTGTAGGTCGAGTCTGACCAGCCCTTAACATTGTTTGAATTGTTTGTATAGCACGTATCCTTGTATCTTATAATAATTATTTGAGTTGTCAGGAGTTTCTGTCAAGGCGCAGCCTATCACGAGGAGAAGTTAGATTTTAATGCATTCTAGCTGTACACAAATTATTTTGTTATATCATCTCAACGTGCATTTAGACATGCTAGAGCAAATTACCTTAAACCATATATTGTTGTCATTATTACTGGCCACCCATGTACCGGTAACGTTATTCAGCCTTCCTCTGTAGGCTTCATACCCGGTTTGATAAACCGATGACGAGGTCAGACTAGAGTCTGGTATACGACCATCTTCCACGCCAAGCCCCTCGCCGAGGACGGGAGGATTGCAACCAAATTCCGCATCGAGGTTCAGCGACGCTGCACAAAAAGAAAGGGAAAAAAAAGACGAAGAGAACTAACTTAACTTGTAATTCACTTTTATATTTTTCCTACTTCCTCGCAAGGCAAGGTTGTCCTTTTAATATATTTGTTCATGAATGTTATCCGGTAATCTACTCTGTCAAAAAGGTATACAACGTATTGATAAGCAGTGGCGGATCCAGGGGGGGGGGGGGGGCCGGGGGGCCCGGGCCCCCCCCCCCTTGAGAAAAAAATCATGTAAAATCACGTGATTTTTACCTTTTTGGGGGTTGGGCCCCCCCCCTGGCGCTCAAGGGGGGGGGGTGCAAATTGAATTTTTTTGAGGATCAAAAAAAAAAAATGTGCTCACTACCCCCCCCCCCCCCCCCCCCCCCCCCCCCCCCCCCCCCCCCACTGAGCGAATTTTTGGCCGGCGCGTTTTTCAAATTTTCGGGAGCAAAAAAAAAAAAAAAAAAAAAAAAAAAAAATTGCTCTGTACCTCCCCCCCCCCCCCCACTGAGCGACTTTTCGGCCGGCGCGATTTTCAAATTTTCGGGAGCAAAAAAAAAAAAAAAGTTGGGCCCCCTCCCCTAAAAAATCCTGGATCCGCGCCTGTTGATAAGAGTAAACGAGCAAGGAATACAAAATAAAACAACAACAAATGGAGAAGAAAACAAAAGGAGATTTTTAATCGGGGAATTTTTCGAATCTTAGGAAACCAATAATTATCATGATTATGAAAATACAGGTATGTTGATTTTTTGCGTGTTAGTATAAAACACCTGTTATATTGGTACACAAGAGTTCCCTGTATTTTCCTGTATTTCTTGAGCATTCGTGTGACAGGATTCTCTTGTAATCACCTACAATATTCATTTTTTAACAGATGGGGGCCGACCTGTCCAAGCGTTCAACCCGCGACATCTCGTTACCGGGCTCGTTACCCAAACGAGAATTCTATACTGATGAAAAAGATAATTATTGATTCTTAAGGGTAGTAACTTTCGGCAATTGCCGATTAAATTAAATTATTCTTTGCATACGCGCTTGACGTAATGTAATCAAATTATCACCGTACTCGTTGAAATCTTAAAGAAATGGAACTCGACCGCAACACGAGGACACTGTTAAACATGTCGCAAGCAGCGAAATTCGCTGGCCCACCTGGAAATGTCTTGAGCATGCCTCCGCGCTCGGGGAGCACTCGGGTGAGGGAGATGTATGATGGATGAGTTTAACCCATCGCACTCTATATATGATCCGACTACGAACCAATTTTGGAAGCATTTGCAAACACATTTGATAGGAACATTCGAACATATACTAAATCTTATTGATCGAGGATCCGAATAGTCTTATGAATTATCAAATCTAATTGTTGAAACTTTCTTGAGGGAGGACAAGGGTAAGAGGACATTTTTTTTTTTATTTGGTCCCGAAATTTGACCGATCAACATTTCGTTCCGTTGAGGGGGGGGGGGGGGGGTAAGGTCACCTTTTTTAAGTCACCGATTAGCATTTAAAAAAATAATAAATGAATAAATAAAATAAATAAAAAACGGAGGGGGGGGGGGTTCCTCCATAACATACACACATTAAAAAAAGGGGGGGGGGTTAACCCCCTCCCCCCCCCCCCCGCGTACGCGCCTGGCCGCAGAAATTGTGAACGGTTGGCCTTGTAGAAAAAAAACCAATTGTAGAAAAAAAACCAATGATTATGTACTTTGAGGTTTGGAATGATCAAAATCTGAAAAAAGGAAGATCCAACCTTGTTTAAATTCACGTGCATTACACAAAGAAAGGGGTAAACGGGACTGCACACAAGTCGAGTGTTTCGTCCAGAGTTTTCAAGTTTTTACCATTTCTTGTAGAATGACGTGAGCATTTTGAGGGGTAATGCAGTTCAGGGGACAATTCTACTATAATTTTCTACCACCCTGACACACACAGAGAGGGAAAGCTCATAATCCAGGGGTGATAGTGAGCACTAAAAAAAAATTAGGTTTTTTCTTTTCCCCACAACTACGCCCCCCTTGAGTAAAACAAAGAAAGAAGAGGATTCGCGGAGAAAATGGCATCTAACAACATTCCCCCTCTTTCGAGTAAGAAAATTGGGGAAAAAATAGTGCAAAATAGGGAAGAATAGAGAAAATAAGAGGGAAATCCGGATAAACTAGGGAAGAAAAAAAAAATTGTAAAAAAAAAATTGTAAAAAAAAAAAAAAAAAAAATCTGGATTTTTTTTTAAAATCGGGAAGAACAAACAAATCGGGAAAAAATCGGGAAAGATAAAAAAAGTCGGGAAACCGATTTAAATCGGGTTTTATCAGGCATGATAATCATGTTTACATTTGCTTCAGCACCTACCAATCTAAATACATATGTATAAGCCTTATCTTTAAGTAACAGCTCTGCACTTACCTATGACATCAGTTAGAGGTCCATACCCATATAGTTCCATCCTCAAAGCAATAAAACCATAATTTTTCGATACTGTTTGATAGATCCGGAAAGAGCGTCCAACTACCGGCCTAGCAAGCGTGTGAGTCACATGGCTTTCACTGTCATAATTTCCCGGAAATCTCTAAAGTTAATGAGAATGACGTTAAATAATATTGCAAAGAAAACTCATTCGTAATGAAGGTAATCGTTAGTTCATTAACCTATACGGCCTGTGAATTAATACAATGTTGACTACATACGTTGTTGTCAAAAAGGGCCAATTACGAATAACATAGCCATTTTTTGTTCTTCTTCTTTTTTCTATTTTTGTTCAAGTCCATATCTGAGTATCCTGAACAGTATTGTGTAAAAAGAAGAAGATCAACCCGAGTTCCATCGCTCGGGATCGGTCGAAACCTCCCTATCAACATGGCTTGCTCAACCAAGGTGTCATTTTCAGTTGAGAGTTCTTATTCTTTTTTCTAATTATTCTTTTTTTTAAAATCCTTATTGAGTTGATCACGATCCTCCGTTGTTATTATGTATATTGCTATTTTGACTTTTCTCCTGCCCTTTATACATATATAAAATGAGAAATGTGAGTTCCCGTTTTATGATTTAATTTGTCTTTTATTTATTGCCTAAGAAAAAAAGTAATAATAATATTAAATCTAAAATTAAAGTGGGACCTTGTCATTGAGAACATCGTTATATTAACTTTAAAGATAAACTGTAGTACTGGTAATGCGATTGAATTGTGATAGAAAAGGTGTGGAAAGGATCAGAAACAGTTGATCATGTAGCATGTATAAGTACTGGTGTGCACTGCCAGGTTCTGGAGTCATCAAAATCATGATAAATTTGAACGAGTCTTGGTAAAGTAACAAGCACTGTACACAGAATTCTATATATTGGACAACACACATGGTGTCGGGGCTAGTACTACCTTGATTTCCTTGTCTTTACATGCTCATTACTCAGCCAGTATACATTTTCTTCCAAAATTGTTTGGCATATGTCATTCATTGGTAATCTTGAACATTCAGTGTAAGTTTCGTTTGATTCTGTGAGAATTAATTTTTTTTTTTTTTTACCAGAACTGGATTTTATCTTTAACTTAAGCAAGACGATCAAATCAGTTTAATTCTTAAAGGTAATAAAAAATTTTGGGAATTTTGAAAATTGGGTGGATAGTGATTCTTTACAATTTTGTTATATTTGGATGCCCCCGTGGATGTATTATAAGCACTAAAAAAATTAGCCCCTAAAACTCTTCTGTTTTCGAGAAAAATTGAATATAAACATTTACCGGTGCTCCCGGTAAATTTTGATAAATTTCAAATAGCGCCTACGGCCGTACAATGGTAGCTGCGACCATGAAAATTTCAGAGTATGTAGTTGTGATATATAATTTCCAAACGGGAATAGCTAATCGGTCGATTTCAGTCAAGAAACATTGTTTCATAGCTAAATTAATATCTTGACCTTGAGATATTATAATTTCATAACTTTAGACTCGATTTCAACCGCGACAACGATCAATGAATATTGTAGGAACACATATGCTTCCGAAATTGTTAATTTGAACCAAATTCATGACCCCATACCAAAACTTTGTAATACCTTTATGTAGTATATACTTTTTTTGGGGGGGGGGGTTCAGCCATGGCACAAGAAAGCTGTATTATATCAACAAAATTTCCATAGTTTAATCATGGACTTACTAGTCTAGTAAGTCCATGGTTTAAAGGAGTTTCAACGAATTTACATTCATCTCTCAACACAAAGACCACTGATTATTATTTTTTTTTAAATGTAATTGAGGAACCGGAGTTTTGCAATTACCTTAACTGAATCAGATCCAGAGTATACGTTTAAATAATCAGTCCAAGTCATGTCGTCCAAACTCGACGAAAAGGTGTATGACGTCAACCGTTTAATACTGTTAGTTATACCCTGAGTCGTTATGGCCGTTACGATATAACTAGACTCAAAATGGACCTGTATCCATGGGTTTGGGTCGGTATTGAGTGCGAGCCAGCCCTTGTCAGAGTTCAGGCGGCCAAAACGGCTGCAATAGAGCGGCGACATGCAGGATGATGATGAGAGAGCCGAATCGGGAAGAGCACCACTTTCAAGGCCGAGTGGTTGACCAGATATATTACACGGGTTTACTATAGGAAATAAAGTCAAGAAATAATAAAAGCATATTACAGAGTAAAACGACAGAGGCTTAGAAGTGCAAATAAAACACGACAATGAAAATTATATTTCGTACCCATAGCATTTCATAGAAACCGTCAGTATACGCGGTGTTGCCAAATTGCAACGAGATTATAATATCTTAACAAGAATTTACCGTCCTCGGTGAAATTTCGTAGGTGAGGTTTTTGTAGTATTCCCTAACATCTCCTTAAAATTTATAATAATAAGGTTATACAATTTAAGTTAACTGACTACAGAGATAACATTAATTAAGAGTAAAATGTACAATATTTTAAATATATGCAAAGATATCTCATTAAATAGCATTAGTGCCCAGATATATCTAGCGTAAACATTTTGCTTTTGTATTTCGAGACAAATATTTCCATTTAGCCAAAGTCATGAAACTATATTGAAAACATCTTTTAAGAACAACATGCAAAAGGAAGCATGTCAAGAAGATTTTGAAGTAATATATGAGTTACGTACTTTTTCTATTCATTTATATTTCAATCAATACGACAAGTAATATACTGTAGGAAACACAAGACCTTGATTTAAAGAAGAAAAAAATAAAACAGTATTTCGTTTTCAACTCTTTTATTATAGGTCGTGCAAAAAACACTAAAGACAATTAAATAAATTGATGTGTGTGTAAATGGTAATTCTTGACCCCTTTGTACAAATAACTGAGTTTAATTTGAGAGCGTGCAACAAATCGTTCAGGCGCCAGGTGAACGCTAATTGTGCAATGATGCTAGTTAATGCACTTAACTCGTAACAACGACTCGTAAACAAAAATCCTAACGAAATGTTTTACTCATAAGCTTACATACATTTATTTGACAATGTTTAATTATTTGATTATTGCACATAGTTATTCATATGTTTATGTAACGGATTCTACAGTTTATTTAACTTTGTGAACATTAGTTTTAACATTGTTATCTATATGTTTGTAATTATATTTGTATTTCAAATCCAACCTCAAGTTTTGGTTGCAATACAGAAATAATAAAGGTATTCACGCCCAATATTACACTTTTTTTCATTCAAGTTCATATTCCAAGCATTCGAATTCGCGCAAACTTCGCACTCGCAGCGTTAACACAGCTTTCAAATTCAAAATCCGTCATTCAAATTCACTATCCGTGCATCAATTGTTAATTCGGGTCATTCAAATGTTCACTAAGAGCGTACATTTCGTGCAAAGAGCATTCAAATACATCTAATGCCGGCTACGGTACCTCAGTGGTCATTCAAATTCGTGAATGAGCAAGCATGGTTAAAAAAGTGAATTGAATTTCAAAAAATATATTGCTTTTAGTTTCGTTGGGGTCTTTGAGAAGCTTTTTTTGCTCAGTTTGTGAATAATGTAGGTTTCATTAACATGACATTTGTATTAACTTCAATCATTCTCATTTGTAAACTCTGTAGGCTAAACAAAAGTTAAACACATGCATAAATATAGGATTTCCCGGCCAAATTCGCGAATTTATCATTCAAATTAATTTGTCTTGCGTTCAAATTCGACGGTTTTAGTGCAGTCAGGTATATCTCGGGTTTATATTTCCTTTTCTAGTTTTAAAATCTATGGAATTTTCGTTAGAAGCTACGTATGATTCATTCACATTAATGAACAATGTGCTTCTTTCGCTATATTTTGGTCATTCGATTTGGCGCAACACGATTTTCTGACAACGCGACGGTGTACTTTTAGCATTCTAATTCATTTGTAGCATTAAAATTAGCACTTTGTGCACTTTCTTTTTCTTTTAATATTGTTTTTTCATGTGCATTTTATCATATTTCATTTTCTTGCATTTATACACTTATACTTATTAGATTTATCTGATATTCATCAGCATTTAAGTTTGATTGTTAAGAAGGAAAAAACGACTTGCATCTACGGACCTGATGGTCTCAGTATATTTGTAAATGTTCATGTAAGGAAGTTGTTTGTCTTATGTTTCATCATAAATTTATCATAATTTCATCACAATTTCATTATGGAAAGGGTACAATATTGTGACTGGGGTAGGGACTAGAGTCAGCAATTTGAACATGATTCATTATTTAGCCATGTCTTTAGCCATCGATCTGCTGGCGGGCAAGTAAACTATGAAACTCTTTAAGAAAAACAGAGGGGTGTCCTGGGTAAAAGAGACGATGTGAATTACTTTTGTAAAATTCCGAGTCTGTAGTAAGAACGGGCAATTGAGGGTACCCCCACCTTTGAACATGTCCGTGCAGAAATGCCACATCCCTTGATTTCGCACCTTCTTTACTTTATGTCTGACTACACCCATCTGCATTGTCTTGAAAATAAATAATTGGAACAACAACTTAGACCCCAATGGCAAATCATGCATTTTAACTGCATTATTTAAAAAATGTAAAAGTTTGTTGCAATTCTTCCCCCTAACATTCCTAACTTGAATAAAAATATTACGAATACGAATGACAGGTGTTAATATGAATGATAAAAATTACGTTTCGACAAGTGAATATTAATTTGAATGCTAGTTGAGCAGTTTCTAAATTAAATGACAGATCTATGAAACCCTTCAACCAAAATCCTAAATTAAATACAAAAACTGGAAAATTAAATGATAATTGGCATGGCAAAGCCGATCTGCGCTAACTTAAATGCAAAGTAAATGAATTCGAATGACAAACACGCAAATTTGGCCGGGAAATCCTAAATTGATCACCAAAAAATAAAATTGAATGCCCCAAACAGGCTCATCGTGAGCGCTGCGTTAATTTGAATGCACGAAGTAGGAAATTGTACGCACGTTCGTGAATTTGAATTCACCGAACAAGAATAAGAGTGCCGATAAATTAAATCGATTGATCGGGTATGAAATTGAATGCCCAAATTCTCCTGCAAGCGACCTCTATGTAAATTTGAATTTTAAAAAATGCGAGATTGGCCGCAAAAACCTATATTAATAAGAATTGGAAAATGCTGGTTTCATAAAAGAATGATCGTCAGTTACTTTTTTTTCGCTGGCATTATTTTGAATTGCACATGAGTGACAGGACCACTATATTTAGGGGATACTAATGCATGATATCAATCAATATTTATCGAGGATGGTCGATCATTTTGAAAGATATTGCCAATCAAAAATGTGTCTCCATTTGTACTACCTGTACATGTAGAACACGTTTTAATTTTGATAAAGTTACTTGGTGTCAACCCTGTGTGCACAAAGCATATTATCATTAATATTGTTATTATTATCATCATCATCATGATTTCTATCATTGCAGTTATACAATCATTATTATTATCACTTTTAATATAATAATACACTACCATTATTATAGTATTTTTTTAAAAATCATGATTACTAATAATATTATCATTATTACTATAACTCACCGGAGCAACACACAATGGAAATAATTTCACTCTCGTTTATCCGTCCCACTCTAGTCTCACTGTACCAGCAGTCTGTGATGTTTGTGGCATTAGGAGGGCAGATCACTGATTCGGCTTCAGCTGGAGCATCGACGGACGAGGACTCGTAAAGTGAACTGCTCAACGTCGCAAGTACTCCTTGTTCAATAAAAGGTGAAGTAAAAAGTAGGATACCATAGTAGTCACAATAATATTTTAAAGAAAATAAATGCGAACCACAACACTAATATTTACTTTATCGGGTACCACAAAAACTGAATTTGGATGACATACTATACGCCATACACAATTTGGACAGGCTCCTGAAACAAGCGTTTCGAAAACTGGAAAGGATAAGAGAAGGATTAAGGTTGAAGAGGGAGAAATATCAACTATAACATGAAATTAAATTCTCCAACTAGACCAATATATATATATATAAAAATATACTACTGATTATAATACTAGTGTTGGAAAAAAGGAAGTAAATTCATCAATAAATAACTTAAAATTGATTATTTAAACAAATTACATTTAAAAACAAGAAAACAGGGTGTATTATTAAAAAAAACTCAAACACCTCAATGGAATCTCAAAAATAAAGGGAAACAATAAAGCAAGTCCACATTGCAAATACCTTGGGTACACTGTACCATCAGATTGGAAAGGTATTCATGAGATGAATGAAAGAATTGCAATGGTTACAATAATCAGAGAGCTTGAGAGAAAATTAAAGGCCATAGAGACCCGGTTCTTGAGTAAGATTATTAATATATCATGATGAAAAAAAATAAAAAAAAATTAAGAAGTGTTTAGAAAACCAAGACTTATCAACACAATAAGAAAGAGGCAAATGCAATCTATTGGTAACATAATCATCCAGAAAGGATAAATGTAGAGAAATATATTTATGTATTATCAGGAAAGATTGCTGAAAAGAGAAGCAAGGGATGGCAATGGCTCACATATTTTGCAAAGCCTGAACAAACTTGCAACCAAAAATGAAAATAGCAATATCAGCTATTTAAAGAATAGCTGATAATAGAAAAGAATGGAAGGCCATTAAGATAATATTGATAATGTCTTACCTTCAAACCCTAGATACTGACATGCCAATTGGGATAGGTTCCTGTTCCAATGATCTTGATGTACCAGCACGTACGTGTTAGGACTGGAGCGGAACGCTAAAGAAAGTGTTCCTTCATTGATCTTTTCACCAAGAAGCTTAAGCGAGTAGATGGTTACATCTATAGAGTTGACAATCAATATGAGAAAGATATGTTGAGGGGAAAAAGAAAGAAGATTGAACTCATTTAGTTATTCGTTAAAGTAAGTTTTAAACAAGACTTTACGGAGATGTGAAATGTCTTAAATATGTAACTTTCTCAGCAAACCTGAATATACAAATTGGTTTTGCGTAGGGCGCTAAATTGACCAAGTCATATTTACATTATATAGTCACTAAGTTATCAAACCATAGTCGTATTACAATCAGAAACGGCGCTCCCGGAGAGGGGGGGGGGCGCAGGGGGCACATTGCCCCCCCCCCCATGTTTTCAAGTACCCAAAAAATGCCCCTTTTTACATAGGAAAAATGCCCCTTTTACTTTGTAAGAAGTGCCCCTTCTTACAAAGGAAAAGTGCCCGGTTTACTTTGACAAGTGCCCCTATTAATGTTTAAAAGTACCCCTCCCGCTTTCCACCTCTAATAAGTGCCCCTTTTATTTTGACACGTACCCCTTCTGCTTTGACAAGTTCCCTTTTCCTTTGTAAAAAGTGTCCCTCCCCCTTTCAATAACTACCCCTTGTTTAACTCGGATATAAGCGCATTTTATATTTTCTCATGTGCCCCCATCCTTTTTGATTAGTGCCTCTTTCCCTAATGATAAGTGCCCCCATTTCAAAGAGAGCCCCTTTTACCTTCTCATAAATGCCCTTTTTCATCTATGAAAATAGTTCCTTTTCTTTCTCATAAGTGCCCATTTTCATCTTTTGTATACGACCCTATTCAATTCTGAGAGATACTTGTTTTGATTTGACAAGTGCCTCTTCTCTTCCTGATAAGTGCTCTTTCATCTCTTATAAATGCCACTGTTACTTTGACACGTTCATCTTTTCCTTCCTAACAAATGCTTGTGTTCCTTCTTATAAGTGCCCCCTTCCCTTAGAATCATTACCCCTTTTCATCTTTGATAAGTGCCCCGTTTATTTTAACATGTGCCTCGTTTTCTTTTTTTATTAAGAGCAACTTCCCCCTTCTCATTAAAGCCCCCTTTCACCTCCGATAAATGCCCCTAGTAAAATCTGATTGGCGCCCCTTTTCGTTAAACAAATGCACATTTCCCTTTATCATTAATGCCCCTTTTTAATTCTTATAAGTGCCTCTTTTTATGTATTGCCAGTGCCCCTTTTCAGATGCGTTAAGTACCTCTTCAGTTTCGAACCTGCGTCCTCGGCTGAATCAGTTTGTAACTTCCACTTTTTAGCTGGATTACAGGCGCACGCCACAAGGAACATATCCCTTTTCATAAATGGCCCTTTTCACTTCTTAAAAATGCCCCTATCAAAATGTGATCGGTGTCTCTTTTCCGTGGACAAATGCCCATTTCCCATTCCCATAAAATTCCTTTTCTTCCCTGGTGCGCCTGCCTTTTTTTTTAGGTGTAATAAATGCCCCATTTTCACCTCTGATAATAGCCTTTTTTTTTTCTTTTTTACAAGTACTCCTTTTCTTTTATAATTGGTGTCTTAACCCTTTCGATTAGTGTTCCCTTTTCCTCTCACCATTAAACGTGCCCCTAATTTCAAGCGACTAAGAGCAATTTCTTCGGCTATGAGAATGAGCTTATAATCCCATCAGGATTGGGTTTTTCCTCTTTATAAGATTTAATTTTTCGCACTGCGATTTCACAAATCTTTAACATTTTCAGACCATCACACCCAACTGCAAAGTATGATGCCTAAGCAATATCTTATATGATGTATAAAGAGAAACAAATATTAAAGTCATCCATGATAATGTAATCATGATATAGGGCTATATAACGATGTCTAAACAAATGTATATTTTCGCCGTGAGATTTCCCTTTAAAAGTGCCCTTTTTTGTTGGTGCCCCCCCCCCCCCACTTTGGAAGTCGCTCCGCCGTTTCTGATTAGAATACGTTGTGTGTTGGTGTGAATGCAATTAGTGAATAGTTAATGAACGATTTGTGATCTTCCACTCCTATATTTACAGGGTCATCTGCTAAAAGGAATAATAAAATGTAGATATCTGATTAAATTGAAACATGAGTTCCCGTTGGACAAAGTACAGGAAAATTCTCACTATCAAAGAAAGAGGTATAACTATTACTTAACACTGGGGTTACTTCACTGCATGAAAAAATAGATTACAATGAAATTTTCGTTTAGCACTTCATCAGATCGAATTTCTGGATTCCTTGTGAAATACCCCTCGGAAGTTTTGAAGAAACACATTGGATCACAGTAGCACAAACATCTTACCACACAAAACAAGCAACTTATTTTAAATACAGTCAAACCTTTCAACTGAGAGCACCCAAGGAAATACTGGCCACTGTACACAGGTGGCGTTGCTAGGCAGGTTCTATAACTCACTTTTATTCCTCGAGGGAGACAAAATACATGGCGACTGTAGACAGGTGACGTTTATAGAGAGGTGGCCATTGTTAAACTGGTTTGACCGTACCTCTCATTATGGCCTTCAAAAGAGAGACAGGTAAATCCTGTATCGCTCTCCTCATGAGTACATGAACCTCCATGTGCATGTAGACAAGGATTCAAAAAAGGGTTTGCACCCTCCCCCCCCCCCCCTCGTAAACAAAAACTCTGCGTATGCCTCTTTTCACTGATACTCCTCACACCTTCCATCAAGACCTTAACTACAACAAAACATGCTAGCCCTCTTATCTTGCCATGCTCGCTCTCCTCAGGATTTTCTTGCTGTACAAGGGTCCCCCTACCCCCATACCCCCCTAATGCATATCCATTTGTCTCACTTACCTTCTGCACATCTTTCACCACGGTAGCCATCTAAACAGAGACAAGTAAATCCTGCGTCCGTCTCCTTGCAAGTGCCTCCATGAAGACAAGGGTTTGAGCGGCATGCTGGTGACAAAGATAACACAGAGGGGGGGGGGGGGGGGGGGGGGGGGGGAGAGACATAGGTAAGAAAAGTGAATACCCCAAGGTCTAATACAAAAATACACACATGTACAAAACAGTAATGTATATTGGTAGTAACAGTGGACACGAGAGTTCGTGTCCGGTGTCCCATCCAATGGCTAAAAAAATAAATTTAAACAAGCCAGAAAAGAAAGAAAGGGTTAGAGAGAGAGTAACAGAAATCGATAAGAACACGCCTGAACCACCAGATCATCCTTAATTACTAGCCTTGTAAATTATTATTATCATTTTAGAATTAAACCTCTGACCACCCACCCCCATGACAACACCTAACCAAAACAAGCGACGGAGGTGTGCCTAACATTTCACACTGCGGGTGAAATGTTTTCACTTTTGTCACTTGTGGTAACTTCATACATTTTGTAGTGAAATTTTACATTTGTAGGGTCTACAACCACCCCCACAAAAAGGGGATTTTCGTCTAGAACAGAGCCTGAGTGGAGTACCTACAGGGTGGAACAGGTGACACGTGCCCCCGTAGTAAAAAGGCAGAAGCGTACGCGTTTTGGTTTAAGGCAGGCTTAAAGATAAACTTGAGTTCTAGTAATGCGATTGCATTGTGAAAGAAAAGGTGTGGAATGGATCAGAAAAGTTGATCATATAGCATGTAAGTAATGGTGTGTAATACAAGGTTCTGGAGTCATCAAAATCATCATAAATTTGGCAGAGTCTTGGTAAAGTAACACTCACTTTATACACAGAAAGAAGTATATGGGACAACACACATGGTGTCGGGGCTAGTACTACCCTGAATTTCGTTAGTTTTGTTAGATTCTGTGAGAATTCATTTTTTTTTTTTTACCAGAACTCAAGTTTATCTTTAATCAATGTCCTTTTTTTGCCTGTACACAACTAGGTGTCAAAAGGCCCCTTCAATAAACTATTCAACGTAAGTTCGAAACAATGTTCAATTAAGCTTTCTTCAATAAAACGAATCCATAGTACAAATTTAGACTACCTAATCAACTGTTACTTACTCGTTTCTTATATCATTTTGTCACATGTCCATTTAAAAGTGTAAGTTAACATGCCTTTCTTTTTCATCAGAAATTGTGTGGAAAATACATTTTTAAAAGTTGAAGAAAAAAAAATTGAACGGAAGAAGCTTTTGAAAATGGCATGGCACGACAAAATGAAACCGGAAGGCAAAAGGTTCGAGTATGCCTTGCCAAAGCACATTTTAGTACCAGGCTGGTATTAGAACCCTCCACCGTTGGACTTAGAGTTAGTTGCATTAACCTCTATTATTATCACGACACCCTCTATCAGTGAATATAGAATTATAATGATATTGAATGAATGACATTTTCTGTAAAAAATATGCCTGGTCACGTTTGTAGGGCAATCCACAATCCACAAAAAAAATAAAATTGTAGTGTCATATAAATATGAATTGACACGAACGCATTTTTTCGGCTCTAGCTTTATTTTTCGGTTACATGTCGTTCTTTCCAAAGGTTTGTAATTCCGATAGTTCATATATCCTAAAAATGAAATAGGATTCGTAATTCCGAAAATGAGGTACAACAGTGTATCGTTTATCGGAATTATGAACCTTCCGAATACCGAGGCTTTTTAATTTTCAGAATTACACACATTTTCAGAATAATGAACCCTTTTTCACCTTTGGAATTATGAACATTCGGATATTAAACGAACCTCCGGAACATTGCAGCAAACGTTCGAAATTATGAACCCTCTCTCAACCATGGGATGATATGGGGAATTTCGTTTTTCCGGAGTCTACGAAACTTTGTAGTTATGAACTTTCGGAAAAAACAAGGCCTCCCCTCCCCCCCCCCTTTTTTTTGTTCCGCCTCATTTCAGAGATTTTGCATGTAAATACTAACCTGGTTCTGTGCAATAATAACGCCGTACACTATCAGGAATCACGAGGATTGCTGGGAGGCCAGATATTAACACCTCTTGACCGGGTTGCATGAGTTTCGGGATGAACTGTACAGTCTCACCGCTCTCCAGAGTGGTTAAGGGACATGTTATGGTCACATGAGGACATACTTCACCTACGTCATGTAATGATGCAATGAAAGTGAGTCAAAGAATAAGTACATCGATAAATACATATAGATAAATAGATCTACATCCTTAATTGAAGTTTTAAGTATAGAAGTATATGTTAATGGAGAATGTTTTAATAAATGAATGCAAAAGTACGTAGACTTATGTCCATTTGAATAAAATCTTCTTGATAAACACCCAATAAATTCCAATAGAGAGAAGGAGCAACATCTAAAATCGGTTCCTAGCATTGTTCCCAAATGGTCATTTACCATCGTAGGATAAGTTCCAAATGTTTCATATTTGAAACGTTAGAATTGCCGCTCTTGAAAAATGAAACATGAAAATAATTAACTAAATGATACATAAACGATACGGCACACAAACATTAAATCTGGCACGTTTAACTATCCCTATACTATTGCCTAATGAGATTCATACACGTTAGGGCCCTGAGACTGATGATCATTAATTTTGTGCACATAGACCCTTGGGTTTTATTCTACTCTCAGCCTTCAATAATCCATAAATTAACAAGTCATTCCTTGTCTCAGGTATTCACATTGATACTGAATTAACTCATAACACTTTCGAAACTATTCATGTATTTTCCAAAAGTCATCTGCATTACTTCAATCCAAAACTTCCTTTTTCAGCAAAATTACTGAGCTTGAAAACATCTTCAGCAACTTATATTCCAAAATCCTTACAATATTCACGGAACTAGGAAGTAGTCTTAGGCTGCACTCATTATACAGCACTAGTACACTTACAAACAATATAATGAAATCCTCTTACTGGATTCTCATTTACACATACATGTACACAGAGTTCATAGTCTATTTAATTATGAAAAATAGTTTACTAAATGTATTTATTTCATGGTTACATACAAAGTACTGTGACGGTAAAAAGAGAAGGGGTAAACAATACAGAGAGAGAGGGAGAGATAGAGAAAGTGCAGGTTGCTGTAGGAAAAAAGTACGTAGTGGATATACGTCATTAGTTATGCCTAGGTCACATTTGCTCTACGGCTAGGATACAGCGGCCGTATATACGCCCCCAAAATCGAGAGATACTTGCGGTAACCGCAGAGAATATGAGGTGTCCTCAGAGTCACCCTTATACAAAATACAACAATGGGCAAGTAATTGTTTCCAGACCAATGATATAAATGAGAATTACTTACATGTTATATTAAAACTGTTGCCATTTGTAAAACAAAAAATTAACTGGCAATAATAAGTAGCCTTGAAAGTGTCGCAATATATCATATGTGAGTGAGCTTGAAGTTTAATGGTGTAGGTTTGTTTCAGTTCAGTTTATTTTCATATTTCACATGTTGTATAATACATCATTACATTTAGCATGTTACATTTTGTACTCATTTTAGGATGCGTTTATACAAACCAAATAGAATATTACATACGACTAAGTTGAATAAAGGAAGAAATATGATGGAGCCTGAAGAGAAAGCAGTGCTTGTAGGTCATAGGCTCCGGAAGTTACAACAATGACATAGTCTCGTGTATATCAAAAAACGTAATTTAATTAAATTGAAACTTATTATGAAGAAACAAATATATGTATAACATTTTCGCTACCCGTACGCAAAAAGACTATATAGTCTTTACACTGTTTTATTTATGAGATATATCACCAATCAAATGAAACTGAATGAGGTTATCGAACAACTTAACAATATCAATCTTCTGTTTTTCTAAATAAACCTGGGAAACCTGAAAATTGCATTACAATGTAAATTCCATTTTAAGTATTAAACAAATGTAATACAATATCCAACAAAGTTGGCAAATATTTGTTTCCAGACCAATGATTTAAGTTTGAAGAAATAACATTTTATATTAAAACTGTTGCCGTTTGTATATTCATGAAAATAAAATAATAAGTAGCCTTGAAATTGTCACAATATATCATGTGCGAGAGAGCTTGAAGTCAATTTTTTCTTCATACTTTTTCACTCCACAGGAATTTAATTGATTTTCGTTTGCAACAAATTAACAAACATATATTAAAAATAGTTCATATTTATAACATGAATCAAATTGACTACTCGAGATACAAATCTTTGTTGAACTGTCGAGTTAACAGAAGAAACACATTTTTTCAATAATGGATTTTTGATATTCCTCAACAACGAAAATGGAAGAAACAATATAAAGAGACATATTATCCTTTGATTATTGGGCTATATACAACTACTTTCTTGTGACCACAGCTAATGATATAAAAAAAAAAATCGGGATTTGTATTTTATTTATAGAAACAAATTCCTGAAATGAAACCATTGTTGGGGAACTTATTATTTCTACAGTTCGAATGTGCATTATACTTTTCATTTTTGAAAACATTTATAATCGAAACTCTAATATTATCAAAGTCTGGCAATGTTTTCTTTACTTAGCACGTATACACCATCTGTCGCACCACAATCAGTATACAATTAAATTCATAAATATTCTCTAACCACATAATTGATCTTGTAGTGAAAATATTATTCTATTTCCGGTTCCAGCATATATCAAGTGTTCCAACCTATCCCAAATATGTTTAACATGCCTACAATCACATAGCAGATGTATTACTGTTTCGTTTGAAGTTTAATGGTGTGGGTTTGTTTGAGACTATAGCCTTTACACTGTTTCATTAATGAGATATATCTCCCATCACATCAAACTGAATGATGTTATCGAACAACCTAACAATATCATTCTTCTATTTTCATAAAACACCCTGGGAAACCTGAAAATTGCATTACAATGTAAATTCCATTCTAAGTGAAAATATAGTACAATATACACCAAAGATAGCAAAAAATTGTTTCCAGACCAATGATTTAAGTGAGAAGAACTGACATGTCATGTTTAAAAGCGTTTGAAAATACATGAACCTGAAATAATAAATAGCCTTGAAATTATCGCAATATATCATGTGTGATTGAGCATGAAATTTAATAGTGTAGTTTTGTTTGAGACTATATAGCCTTAACACTGTTTCGTTAATGAGATATATCTCCCATCACATCAAACTGAATGATGTTATCAAACAACTTAACATTATCAATCTTCTTTTTTCCTAAATAAACTTTGGAAACCTGAAAATTCCATCACTATGTAAGTTCATCGTTAGTGAAAATCTGATACAATATACAACAAAGTTGGCAAATAATTGTTTCCAGACCAATGATTTAAATGAGAAGAAATAACATTTTATATTAAAACTGTTGCCGTTTGTATATTCATGAAAATAAAATAATAAGTAGCCTTGAAATTGTCACAATATATCATGTGTGAGAGAGCTTGAAGTCAATTTTTTCTTCATACTTTTTCACTCCACAGGAATTTAATTGATTTTCGTTTGCAACAAATTAACAAACATATATTAAAAATAATTCATATTTATAACATGAATCAAATTGACTACTCGAGATACAAATCTTTGTTGAACTGTCGAGTTAACAGAAGAAACACATTTTTTCAATAATGGATTTTTGATATTCCTGAACAACAAAAATGGAAGAAACAATATAAAGAGACATATTATCCTTTGATTATTTGGCTATATACAACTACTTTCTTGTGACCACAGCTAATAATATTTAAAAAAAATCGGGATTTGTATTTTATTTATAGAAACAAATTCCTGAAATGAAACCATTTTTGGGGAACTTATTATTTCTACAGTTCGAATGTGCATTATACTTTTCATTTTTGAAAACATTTATAATCGAAACTCTAATATTATCAAAGTCTGGCAATGTTTTCTTTACTTAGCACGTATACACCATCTGTCGCACCACAATCAGTATACAATTCAATTCATAAATATTTGAACCTCTCTAACCACATAATTGATCTTGTAGTGAAAATATTATTCTATTTCCGGTTCCAGCATATATCAAGTGTTCCAACCTATCCCAAATATGTTTAACATGCCTACAATCACATAGCAGATGTATTACTGTTTCGTTTGAAGTTTAATGGTGTGGGTTTGTTTGAGACTATAGCCTTTACACTGTTTCATTAATGAGATATATCTCCCATCACATCAAACTGAATGATGTTATCGAACAACCTAACAATATCATTCTTCTATTTTCATAAAACACCCTGGGAAACCTGAAAATTGCATTACAATGTAAATTCCATTCTAAGTGAAAATATAGTACAATATACACCAAAGATAGCAAAAAATTGTTTCCAGACCAATGATTTAAGTGAGAAGAACTGACATGTCATGTTTAAAACCGTTTGAAAATACATGAACCTGAAATAATAGATAGCCTTGAAATTATCGCAATATATCATGTGTGATTGAGCATGAAATTTAATAGTGTAGTTTTGTTTGAGACTATATAGCCTTAACACTGTTTCGTTAATGAGATATATCTCCCATTACATCAAACTGAATGATGTTATCAAACAACTTAACAATATCAATCTTCTTTTTTCCTAAATAAACTTTGGAAACCTGAAAATTCCATCACTATGTAAGTTCATCGTTAGTGAAAATCTGATACAATATACAACAAAGTTGGCAAATAATTGTTTCCAGACCAATGATTTAAGTTTGAAGAAATAACATTTTATATTAAAACTGTTGCCGTTTGTATATTCATGAAAATAAAATAATAAGTAGCCTTAAAATTGTCATAATATATCATGTGTGAGTGAGCTTGAAGTCAATTTTTTCTTCATACTTTTTCACTCCACAGCAATTTAATTGATTTTCGTTTGCAACAAATTAACAAACATATATTAAAAATAATTCATATTTATAACATGAATCAAATTGACTACTCGAGATACAAATCTTTGTTGAACTGTCGAGTTAACAGAAGAAACACATTTTTTCAATAATGGATTTTTGATATTCCTCAACAACGAAAATGGAAGAAACAATATAAAGAGACATATTATCCTTTGATTATTGGGCTATATACAACTACTTTCTTGTGACCACAGCTAATGATATAAAAAAAAAA